CTTCGCCTCGGCCTCGGGGCCGCCGGCCGGCTCCCCCGGAGGCGGCGGCGGCGGCGGCGGCGGCAGCGGCTGCTCGTCGGCCTGAGGGGCGGACTGGCGCCCGTCGGCCTCGCCGTCCGGCACCGCCGCCTCGGTGGCCGTAACCGGGAGGGGGGTGCCGGCCTCGCTGCCGGGGATGGGCTCCAGCTCCGGCTCGGCCTCGCCGGCGCCCCCGTCCCCGGGGGACGCCGCGGTCGCCGCCGCCTCAGCAGCCACGGCCGCCATTTTCTCACTGGGTCCTCTCTCCTCCGACTCGGGCTGCGGCGGCGGCGGCGGCGGCAGCGCGGCTGGGTTCCCGAGGCCTTCCCCTCCCTCCCGCTAACACTGTCGTCCCGCCCTTTCCCTGATGCTCGTGATTGGCACCGCGCCATTGGCTCCGCCTCCCGCCCCTCCCGCATCTCTGTCCGCCCATTGGTCGCAGCGAGCCATCGGTCGCTGGCCGGGTCCCGCCCCCTCGCTGAGCGTAGGAACTTCCTATTGGTCCGGTGAGTTGTCAAGCGGCGAATCTAAAAGGGGGCGTGAGGTACGGCCTGAAGGATAGCGAAAGTGGAGCGCTGTACTTGCCGCGGGTATCTATTGGTTGGGAGGGGGAAATGCCGCTTCGTGATTGGTGTATGCTCCTGCCCGTACTCGGCCTCTTCTTCGGAGGTGGGAGAAGGAAAGGAAACGCTGGTCGTGCCAGTTCTTTCAAAGACTCCCCAAGGGAGGAATAGCGGGAGAATGCAGAAGGGGAACCACTTCCCAAGAATCTTTGCGCAGACATCCTTAGAATAAATGTTATTTCTAGGCGTGGACTTGCTTGGAGCCGAGGGTGGGCACAACAGGCTTCTGTGAGAAAGATAACTAAAGTTCCAAAATAATCCTGAAATACTTTTGGGTGCCTATTCTGCTAAGTCAGTCTTCGAGGTGCTGGGAATAAGACGACGTACAAGACGTTCTCCATAACCACATGACAGGAGCTCCAGCCTGCACGTGGAGTTCCTTCGCCTCACTTTTTAGAAACAAAGGATCAATCTGCCCCTCTAGGGACCTGCTAATTTCAAAGAAGGACAATTCTAACGAGAGGAAAGACAACTGGCATGCTAAGTTGAGTGAAGTCCTGCCACGTTGCTTATGGTGGTGCATGGTGGTTCCACTGGAAATTTTTCACTGCTGAAGCCTTTTCTTCCCTAACCCTCTTCTGTGCTGGGGGGTGGGGGTGGGGGGTGGGGCTCAATCCAGACATAGTTGTCCGTGGGACTAATCTCAGCACTTGGGAGGCATGGGCAGAAACAGCAACGATTCTAGACAACACAGACTTCATTCTGTTTCAGGACAACCTGGGCTACAGAGCTAGACCCTGTCTCAAGAAAGGAAAAATAAAGGGTGAGGGTCCCTACAGTTTTATAATGTCTTTGTTTCTCTGGTTTGGGTTTTGTTGTCTTGCTTTTTGAAACAGGGTCTCCCTGTGTAGCTTTGGCTTGCCTGGAACTCACAGAAATCGGCTTGCCTCTGCCTCCCTAGTGCTGGGTTTAAAGGCTAATCCTATTTTAAATCACTTGTTAAAGTCTAGAAGGAGCTACAAAACTGTAGCTGACTGTTCCCCAGTCAGCCTTTTCCTGTATCTGAGATCAGAGGCACTAAGAACACCCACAAAGGAGAAAGAAGTGTTACCAATGTGGAGGGGAGAATGAAATTCTGAAGATTAATTGAAGACTATATATCAGTCCTAGTACAATCTTTTTTTAAAAGAATCATCTTGTTTTTATTTCTTTTGTTTACTATTTATTCAGTATTCTTCCTGCATGTGAGCCAGGAGGTCAGAAGAGGGCACCAGATCTCATTACAGATGGTTATGAGCCACCATGTGGATGCTGGGAATTGAACTCAGGACCTTTGGAAGAACAGCCAGTGCTCTTAACCTCTGAACCTCCAGCCCCCCAGTACAATCTTACATGATTCTTGCAAGAAGACAAGTACTGGTATACTCATTTTATTTGAAAACTGGGACAAAAAGAGGTCCCTAAGGTCATTTAGGAACCTCAATTACATAGTCATAAGTCAAGTTTTCTTATGGGAAAGACAAAATGGCAATAAGCAACTATCAGTCAGTGTTCTGTCTGTTTCAAGTCTAGCAGCTCTTAGGAAAGTGAAAGTCCAATAGAAGATGCCAGTTGGGGAGAATTCAGAATCTTCCTTTAAGATAACAGGAACAAAAAATGAGTTTACTTAGTGATTACTATGTACCACTAATTTTCCCATAACCTCACATTTAAAACCCTGTGCTATAGGGGCTAGAGAGAGGGCTCAGCAGTGAAGAGCATGTGCTGCTACTGCAGAGGACTCCAGTTTGGTTTCAGCACCAAGATTAGGTGACTCACAACGGCATGCAACTCCAGCTCCAGGGGATACAATGCCCTCTTCTAAGAGCCTCCTTGTACACAAACCTACTCTCAGACACATACATACAAAAATATCTAAAAGTAGTAAAAATAGCCAGGCATGGTGGTGCATGTTTTCAGTGGAGGAGACAGAAGCAGGTGGGTCTCTGTGAGTTCAAGTTCATCTTGATCTATATACCAAGTTCTAGACCAGCCAGAGCTCTATCATAATGAGACCCTAATCTCAGTAATCAGTTTTATAAATCCACTAATATGCTTTAGATCTCTTTTACAGATGAAAAAACTGAGCCTTTCTCAAAAAACCTGTGCACAGCATTGCTGTTGATACCTAGCATTGTAAGAAAGCCAGAAACCTCTTGTGGACATTGTGCTTACATTAAACATACACGGGTCTTGCCTTACAGAACTTTTATTATGATACTATGTCTATAGTTCACCATAATCAGCTTGTTACAATAAAATGTAGTCTGTAACACCATGACATCCTGAATTCCCATGCTGTATAATCTCCCACAGGGAGGAAAATATATCTTGGGTCCTGGGACCTCATTACTTCTCAAAGTAATTACAAAATTTTGTAGTGAGTAGTTTAAATTTCTAATTTATCACATATTGTGGCATAAATAGCAAGGCACCCTCTGAAGCCACTATTTCCATTGTGCAGTTCAAGACACTACTCACCCTGTGTACACACTGAGTTGGCTCTTTTGCTTTGCCGTGAAGATCCTCTCTCTAACCCTGGCCTGTCTTTCAGAGTCGATCCTCTACAAATCTTCAGCCTTTCTAATACTAGGACTAGGTATTCATGCATCTTTCTCTTTCTCGTCCAGATAACATTGAAGGACTACTATGTATCAGTAACTGCAATCAGTGAGACAAGCAGAAGGCGTGACATATAAATAAAAAAGATTTGGTATTGGTCCACTTGGGCCTTTTTTAATTGTTGAGTTATAAAATAGTAAATAAGATGATCAAAGATTCTGAGTAATTCTATAAGAGAAGCAGGCTAGGATAATAAAGTAAAATGGGCAAGGCAAAAGAATGTGTCCTTTAAAGATGGTGGGTACAACAAGGCCTTTATAAAGACAGGACACTTTAGAGGATGCAAAGAAACAAACACAGCGAGCTCTTTACATTGCTAGCCGAATGTTCAGCTCACAAAAGAACAGCAAGCAATTGCTTAAAGTCTGAAGGCTAAAGAGGGCTTGGCTTGGTCAGAAAGACAAGGAAGATCATTGGTGGTTGAAGACAATGACCAAGAGGATAAATAGGTAAAATGAGGTTGGAAAGGAAAGCAGGAACTAAATCATCATACTTTCTAAGCGATTCTCCCTTAGGGAACCCCAGATCCAACAGAGAACCTGGCTTTTACATTTGCTTCTGTAACCCAGGAACTTCTGCCATCAGGTTCCTCCTGAAATGGAACTGACATGGAGAGATCATCGATAGCCATGTACTGTATGGGTTTAGTTGGTAGCAGCATGAATGGATAGTTGGAGGGTTGGATATATGTGTGGAAGAATAAGAAATATGGGAAGAATAAGAAATCCAGTAGTAGTGGAAGTGCTCCAGAAGGGTGGTGTGGACTGTGGGTATTGTACTTTCATAATGGCTTAGCTGTATGTTGTGGCACAGCCCTTGGGGAAGATCTGGACCCTCCAGCCTGGTTGGTAGGCAGCCTGCAGCCAGTGTGCAGAACCTCTGAATGGAAGCCTAGTTAATGTGCAGCACCTGAACAGTGTTCCTCGTTTAACATCTGTCTGTCAGCATAGACTTACATCATTTTGCTATGCTCTTGGACCCAGTGAGCATCTAGGCAAGATGCCCCCTGCCTGTGGAAATATGTTGTCAGGCATCCAGGTATGAAGATGCCTCAAAGACCCTGCACCTGTGACTCCTTCCCCACTGGACATAAGCAGCATCCCCTGGAAGCCAGAGATTCCAGAACACACATATCAGTACATCATCAAGCAGAGGATGGAGAAGCCATTGTCACCTCCCTATTGTGAGATGACTCTGTCAATAGCTAGTGACAGTGTGGACAGAATTCCCATGGTGAAAGCTTTAGCTTTAGCTACCCATGTCATCTTGAATTATCTCACCACAAAACAGACCTAGGAGAGCATTTGGCATTTTGAGGAACAGGCAGGACTGAGAGATGCTTGGCTACACACACCACAAGGAACTTCCCAATGAGAAGAACAAGTACCTCTCAGAGGTAGAAGCACTCCATAAGTTAAAGCTATAGTGTTCATCTCACCACAAAGAACATCCCCTCACTCATTCAAGAAGAAGTTCATGGGTGGGAATGAGAGAGGGGGATACATCTGGGATACAAAGTGACTAAACTGTAATTAGTTTAAAAAAGTAAAGAAGTCCACAAGCTGCTTCACCTCTGTTTCTTCCACGGCCTTATCTGGCCCAAACCCTGACACTATGGACCATGGAAATGGGAACAATAAGAACTCATCAGATAAACAGAGCCCCTTTGGACCAGTCTGATCTGTAAGTCTGATTATGGAGGTTTTGCCCTCTAGCCCTACAAAGGAGCCTAGAGCCCAGTCCCAGTGGCAGAGACATGCCCAGGCTGCCTGAGTAGCTGAAGACCCAGCAGTCTTCAAGTTGCTCAAGATGGATGCCCCATTCATAGAAGGAAAAAAGCAAACACAATGTACCCATAAGCTCAGACCCCATGACTTGAATATGTTCGTGTCCATTGCCTTCTAGAATGCTTTGAGGAGTCCTTGGGAATTCTGTTCTTTAACCTCAGCTCTGAAACAGGGATGCAGTATTTTTAAGTGGAGGCTTGAGTGACATTTAATACAGTGATTATCTGTCTGTGAGCGAAACTGTTCTGCTCTGCTTTAAAGTTGAATAAAGTTAGCTGTGCTGATTGGAAATCCTTATGACCTATTTTTTTTTTTTTTTTTTTTTGTATTCTTTGACCTAGAGAAGGACTTTGAACCTTGCCTCCTGGGTAAATAATGCTTATGCAATTCCCAAACCTAAGCTTCTTAATTCCTTTCCCGTGACCAACCTAAGCATTGACAATGAGAGATGTGCACCTACTAACCTGGACAGCTGTGGCCTCCTGACAGTTTCTA